TATATATATTTATGCATAAATATATATATATTTATGCATAAAGTATTTTGTAAAAAAAAAAAAAGGGTTTACCACAGAGAACAAAACAGTACAATGTACTGTATGTTCCCATACAATGACAAAATTAGTTCTCTGCACTGGAGCCATCACACCTGATACACACCCAGGTGGAGTAGTGGGCAGCTGTGTGAGTGTCCAGGGAGCAATTAGGTGTCTTGCTCAGAGACACCACAACATGTGGGAACGGCTGGGAGTCAAGCCGCGGCTTTCTGGTCCCAGGTCGGCCCCCCAGCCTAAATTGGGGGGGGGGGGGGGGGGTAAGCATACATATTGAGGCAATTTCAAAGAGCACAATTTGACTTTTTTTGGTTATTGTCATTCGCATAGCATGTGGTACATGTGGTGGAATGAAATTGTGTACACAGGGTCCCAGTTATATCGAAAAGAAGTATACATTTGAAAGAAAAACAGTAAGATCTAAGATATGTACTAAGAAATACGCTAAACTATTTATTTATTTATTTATTTATTTATTTATTTATTTATTTATTTATTCACTCATTCATTTCATTTCAGTTAAAACAAGACTTATTCCATACAAATACAATAAGATACATATAAAATGAAAGGCAGCAGAAGAAGAACGAATTCTTATCATTTCTGCCTCTTCTAAACAATATCAATTCAAAACGATCTATTCAAACAATACATAATACAACCAACCAAAAAACTTATCACAATTCATTATAATTCCATACCATTAAACTTAAATATATTTCATCATCAATACATTCTTAATCTTTTTTTAAATACAGCTAATGAAGTCTCCTTTTTGATATCATTATCCAAACCATTCCATAAACTAATTCCCTTGATCGAAGTAGACGTGCCCTTAAAACTTGTTCTATATTTCATCTTTACAAAAATATCTGTTCCCTTTAAATTAGAACAACTATTCCTTTTAACGAAATACACTTGTATGTTTGACGGTAAATTTTGGTTCTGAGCCTTGTACATAAATAATAGAATATTGTAATCCACCAAATCATAAAACTTAAGAGTTTTCAGTTGATAAAACAAAATACTTGAAGGATGGCGATAATGCTTTGTTGCGATAAATCTTCTAACTCTTTTTTGTAAAATAAAAATAGACTTGGTTGCAGTTTTACAAGCTGTACCCCAGATAGCAACAAACACAATAAATCAAATGTGGCACAACAGTTGTATGGTACAGTGACACGATGCTTTATCAGTCAGACATTCTCGTACTTTATGCAGCGTTGCTGTAGACCTGGAAATTTTAGTTCTTACAAAATTAATATGTTTTTTCCATGTCAATGTATCATCAATAATCACTCCCAGAAACTTTACTTCACTCACTCTTTCTATCACAACACCATCAATTTCAAAAGGAAAATCTATAGATGGCTTTTTTTTTTTACTAAATATCATATAATTTGTTTTTTCTAGATTAAGTGATAATTTATTTAATTTAAACAAAGTATGAATTTTTACAAACTCAATCTTCATTAATTCAAACATCTGATTTAAGTCTTTACCCGAACAAAAGAAAGTTGTATCGTCTGCAAATAAAACAAACTTGAGAATACTAAACACCTTAACTAAATCATTTACATACAAAATAAACAGCTTAGGCCCAAGAACTGAACCTTGAGGTACTCCACATGACACATTACACAAACCAGATCTAACCTCATCAATCTGAACAAACTGTTTTCTTCTGTTTAAATAGCTAGATATCCACTGTATGGCTAGACCTCTAATACCTTATTGTTTCAATTTTTCAAGCAAAATAGTGTGATCAATGGTGTCAAAAGACTTTTTCAAATCAACAAATAGACTTACACAATATTGCTTCTCATCTATCGCTGTAGTAACCTGTTCCATTAAACCCATAAGAGCCAGACATGTTGAATTGTTAGATCTGAAACCGTATTGCTCATTACTCAAAGTATTATGTTTATCTATAAATTTGTCCAGCCTGGACACAAATAATCTTTCAAGAATTTTAGAAAACTGTGGCAACAACGATATAGGTCTATAATTTCTAAACAAACTTTTCTCACCATTTTTAAAAATTGGAATCACCTTTGCGATTTTCATTCTTTCTGGGAAAATGCCTTTAGAAAATGATAAATTACAGATATATGTAAAAGGTTCCAACACATTACTTATTATTTCCTTCACAATCATTGGATCTTTTATCAGCAAATTGTCCAACTACCTTCATTATGTCTTCCTCACTAGTACCGTTAAGAAACATACTGTTTGCACATCCATTGATCAAATAATTCACATTACCATCTACTTTAGGAATTGACGTTGCAAAACTTAATCCCACATTTGCAAAATAATTATTAAATCCATTTACAATCTCTGTATCATCATAAATTTCCACATTGTTTTCAACAAAATGTTGTGACAATCCCCTATTACCATTTTGTTTTCTTAAAACATTGTTAATTACTCGCCATGTCGCTCTCATATCACCACTGCATTTATGTAATAATTGACTATAATATTCCCTTTTATGTTTTCTTATTATCCCTACCAATTTATTTTTATACTTTTTGTATTTTTTTTCAGCATTTAATGTTCTAGATTTCATAAACCATGAATAAAGTTTATTCTTTTTTTACATGCATTCTTCAATCCTTTAGTCATCCAAGGATGATCGACTTTCTTATCTTGTATGTAGATTTTTTTTACACAATTATTTTTGAACAAAACTTCAAGGATCCTCATAAATTCATCACAAGATTTGTTTACATCATCCACATATACTTCATCCCATTTTTGTATATCTAAATCTTATTTAAATTTATCCATTGCTTGTTTTGATGTGTTTATTTTTGTATTTATTCTTTTTATTTTTTTTTGGTTTATTATCATCACATTTATAAATTGAAAAAAATGGTAAATGATCACTGATATCCATCATCAATATTCCACTTATCACATCCTCATCTTCTATGTTTGTGAATATATTATCGATTAACGTAGCACTGTGAGTTGTTATTCTTGTCGGCCTTAATATCAACGGATATAAATTTAAACTATTCATCAAGTTCATAAATATACTGGTATTATTAGAGTCTGTCATGTTGCCCAAATCAATATTGAAATCGCCACATAAAAAAACTTTTTTATTTCCACTCTTAACCAATAATTCTAATATTTTATCTGTAAATGTCTCTATCTTTGAACTTGGCAATCGATACACACAACTTATTATAATATTTGTTCCATCTTTGTTTATTATTTCCACTGTAATCATTTCCATCATATTATCAACAACCATAGACATTTCTTTAATTAACTTACATTTTATTTCCTTTTTTATAAATATAGCTACTCCTCCACCTCTTTTATTTTTTCTGTTTATATAATGTAAATCATATCCTTCAATGTGGATGTTTTTTATATTTTCATCATTAAGCCATGTCTCCGATAGTGCTATTACTGTAAAAGTTTTTTTAATGTTTTGGAGATTTTCTAGCATGTAAGATATATTTGCATTTTTACTTCTACAGTTCAAATGAATTATAGAAAGATCATCATTTGTCATGTTAACTTCCTTAAACTGTTCTTCCGGTAAGATGGCGCCCGTGTACATGGCCTGCAATCTACCTCTGACGATACTTTTTGGATTATTTCTGCTTTTTTCATTTTTTGTCTGGGATATCAACTCGCTGCTTGTGTATGACAGACAACAGCTCCTCGATCTTCGATTGTCTGTATCTGCTGTCGCTGATTCGGACCATTTTGATCGTGACTCGGGACCCCCCCCCCCCCTTCCACCCCTTCTGGCAGACGTGCCTGCTTGTTTACGCTGGGCCCCAAGCCTGTCTTCTCGGAGATATCGATCCAGACGCCGGGGTAAACGTGCCGGCCGGCTGGTAAAACTCAAAGCTCTGCGTAGTCAACGTTTCCACAGCCAGCTTCCTACGTGCCCGGACCAGGGAAAATATGGGTGTTGTCTACCAGCCCTGCGCTTGGACCATCCTGGAGGCGCTGTTTTTAAAAATCTGCAACCGTTAGCGCGCACCACCCCCACCATGGCTGGTTCTGTGTCGGACCAGATCAGGACGTGCCTCATCAACACAAGGTCTGTTGCCAACAAGACTTTTATTCTAAATTACTTTTTTAAAGACGAGGGACTAGATTTTCTTTTCTCACTGAATCCTGGTTGCCTTTGGGTGATTCAAGCGCCTTGGTGGAACTTTTACCTCCTGACTGTGTTTTAATGCCCCGCGGCCATCAGGTCGGCAGGGTGGTGGAATATTAACTGTATTTAAATCAAACTTTTCCTGTAAACAGTTGTCCACCCTCATGCCCTGCTCCAGTTTTGAGCTGAGTG